GTAAACTTCCCGCCCCATACTACTCGCCCCAAACTTCCCGTCGCGAACAACTGCAGTACGCCGTCGAGCTCAACGACGTCGTCTTCTCGCTGCACGCGCTGACGATGACGCTCATCACCGCCCTGCAGTGCTGCATCTACCCGCGCGGCAAGCAGCGGGTGCACCGCCTCGTAGCGCTGTTCATTTTGGGCAGCGTCGGGTCTGCCGTCGGCTACGCGGCGGCCATCTGGGCGGGGTGGGGGGTGGGGTGGCGGCTGCAGGAGTTTGTCAAGTGGGTGTGGTGGCTGTACTACCTGTCGTTCATCAAGATGATCGTGAGTCAGGGGTTGGTCGGTTAGTCAGGGGATGACTTGTGAGTCAGGGGGTGGCTTGTGAGTCAGGCGGTGGTCGGCGAGTCAGGGGTTGATGCTGATTTTGGGGGCGGCAAGTGGTTCAGTGGGCCATAGGGAGGGTGCAATTTGTTTTGAATGAGGAGTGAGGGGATTGGGAGTTCGACGCATGCGGATGCTCCACGGAGCGTGGTGGGCGCCGGGGGTGCCTGTCGCCGCCGTTTTGCACGGGCTGCTCGCCTGAGTCCGTCCCTGGTACCTCTGGCCAACGGGCAACCACTGCAGCCCCCACCCCACGCCCCACCCCGCCCATTGTTGCCCGGCACTCAACCACCCTGCACCCCGCCGCGGCGTCCTGCATGTCTCGGCAGGTCACGGTGTCCAAGTACATCCCGCAGGTGGGGGCCACCCTTTTTTATGCATGGTATCGGTGGCCACGTTTGACTGATCTGGATGTCCCTGCACCCAGACCACCCATGACTGCCCTGCACAATTCTTGAGCGGCAGCGTCCACTCTCAATGTGCTGGTTTGTTTCGCACACTCGCACGCACACGTCCTCACGCACACATCCACACACTGACATGCTCGCACATCACACACACACACACACACACACACACTCACACACACACACACACACACACACACACACACACACACACGCACCGTCAACACCCCCCCTCCCCAGGTGGTCTACAACTGCCGCCGCAAGAGCACCCAGGGGTGGTCCATCATGAACATCCTGCTGGACTTCATGGGCGGCGTCCTGTCCCTGGGCCAGCAGCTCATAACCTGCTGGCGCGCGGGCACATGGGCCCCCATCACCACAAACCCCGTCAAGCTCGGTGCGCTGGTTTTCTCGCGCTTTGGCCCGTAGGGCGCGGCCGTCGGCGCACGGGTGTCAGACGGCTGGCCGGCGGCGCCGCTGCGATGATGCTGTGCTGTCTGGCAATGGCAGGCGGCGCTTAGCCTGCAGTCAGGCCGTCCAGCGGGCTGTGACCACCATGTGCGGCTCGTTTACACAGCAACCCACCACCCGTCGATTGACTTCCTGGTGGATTACTGAGTCCATGACCCCACCCCCGCCCGCCCATTGAAACGCCTGAATCCTGGGCAACAGGCCTGGCGATCACTTCAATGATGATGGACCTCATTTTTGTGCTGCAGGTGTGTGTGGTGGGAGGGGGGATGGGCGAACAATTCTATGTGGGTCTAGACAGGGGCAAGTGTAGTGACGGCACCGCTCAGCATGCAGTGGAAGCATCTGGGCCGCGACGTCAAGGCTCTGTCGCCCCCTAGCTGGCGCATCGCACGCCGCCGACCCGCCCTGCATCGCGCCCCGCCTTTGCCCCCGCCCTAGCTGCTCCCCTGCCTCCGTGGGCGGCCGGTTCGGCGCCGGCAACGCAAAGAGGTCCCGCCGCCGTCCAGCCCCTTGCCCAATTCCTCTTCCTTTTGGAACCCACCGACCGCCCCGCTCCCCCTGCTGCCTCCACCCAATCCGCTATCACAACCCCCAATCCCAACTCCAGACTCACCAAAACCACTGCCACCACCACCTACTCCAATGCCCTAACACCCAACAAACCCCCCCTGCTGCGACCGCCGCCGCCGCCACTACCGAATTTCTCACCCAGCATTATGTATTATACGCGGAGAAGCGCCTCCCCGGCCCCTGCCCCTTGTCGCTGCGCCGCGTGCGGTCGCTGCTGCGCGCGCTCAGCCGCGCGCCGGAGCGGCTGCCGCCGGAGATCGCTGAGGATCTGCTGCTGTCGCTGTCAGATCATGGGTTCGACGTGGATGTGCCGAGGGTGAGCGATCTGGGCATTTGGTGATCTGTATGTGATCTGGGTGCGATCTGGATGATTGTCGGCGCACCCTCAAGAAGGCCGCGGCCGAGCCTCGAGGCGGCTGGGCTGAGTTGTTCTCGACCATTCGATTTGCCGGCTGTGTCGACTCTGGCCGCGGCGGACCGTCGCTTCCCGCCATCTCATCACCCTGGCATGCGAGGCTGGTCGCGCGGCCACTGGCGCCCTTGCCCCTTGTCCTCCCCCAAAACACAACTGGCGCCGCACTCCCCACGACAAGAACGCCCCTTGGTGGCGCACCAGCAACGCACTGCGCTCTGCGCCCCTCGCCTTGCCAAACCGCCCCACACGCGTGCGACCCATCCGTCACAGCCCCAACTGACTCCGCCCCCCCTCCCCAATATGAAAGCAGCCGGCACCCCCCTGCCGAAAAACGCGATCCCGCGCAGGTGCTAAAATACTATTCGGACCACCCGGAGGAATTGCCAGAAGAGGCATTGGAGCACTGCCTGGCCGCCTACTGGCGCGTCGGCGGCGCCGTCGGCATCGCCCGCGGATACAACATGACGCCATCTTATGCGGACTTCGAGGCCGCCGCCGCCG